CTTTTTTGCGGATTTTTTCATTCTCGGACTGATAAAGGAGGAATTTATATCGATGATGAAATCAAGGAAACAGGGGTATTTCGATAAGCTATTAATGAAATGTTTGTAAGAATTGATGAGACATTGAAGGTTGAAAAAGACAGTTGATCAGATAAGTCTATGCAATTAAATAATACTAATAGTGTTGCCAGTACCGTGGGGGTGGCTGTAAAGGCATAATTACCAAAAATCGCCCTTTTGGAGACGCAGTTCAATATGAACCCTTCTGGGATATGGCGCTATTGATGAGAATCAACAACTTTCGGATATAGATAAACTTACCTATCTAGGAAATATGTTAGAGGGGCAGCTGCAGCAGCTATACGTGGACAACCATCGACTGCAAATAATTACGTGTCAGCCAAAGAAATTCTTAAGAAACGGTTTGGACAAAAACAAATTGTGATTAACGCCCATATCGAAGGCCTTGTAAAGTTATCTCCTGGATCTGAAAACACTTAGACAACGCCAATAAAGAGGGAGCACAACAGGTGTTACCGATGAGAAACGACAAAGCGTGTTTTTATTGTAAGAACTGTAAGATTCGGGCTGAAACTATCCTGAGGTATATTTTATTGATATTTTATCACAATACCGGGCTGAATTTTCAGCCCTGAAATACCATGAGCAGGTTACCACCGGGATTTTATTTGACACTGGTAGTCAAAGGTCTTATATATCCAGTAGGGTTAGAAATATACTACCTTTGAAAACAATAAGAGTAGAAGAGGTTGTGATCAAAACATTTGGGCAGTCTGAGGATAGTGAGGGGCAAAAGCTTGATGTAGTTCAACTTAAAATTAGAAATAAGAACAATTCTGAGTTCACATTTGTAGAGGTCTTATGTGTTCCCTCTATTTGTAGCCCTCCCTCTAACTAAGCAGCCCCTTTGGCGATGTGTACAAAATACCTGAATTTGCAAGGCTTATCAAGATTATCTCCGAGTAGGAATTTTAATTGGCATAGATACAACATTTTCGTTAGGCATAGGCGTTTTGTTTTCATTCATAATTTTTGTTCGGTATCTTGCGTACAGCTTCGTGAGTTCTGGGACAGTTCTGAAGAGCTCTATTGCGCAGTCGTCTACCTGCGGTTAATTTATGACAGCTTCAAGAGCAGTTGCTCATGAAAGAACAATCGAATTATGATAATCTGTGTGCATCATTACGGTTATTCGAAGATACGGACGGCCCCTTGTATTGCATACTGAGTTAATGGTAAATAATTAATATACCTAATATTTGCAAAATTTACAAATTATGTGATCGGAGACACATTGCCGGAAAAAAGCAATTATGTTTGTTAACCCGTGACGGTGGTATAAGGTGATTAAGGCGTGAACGGTGAATCTAGCTGTCGCATTCTATCAAAAGTTTTTAAACAGAAAGCATCGCGTCTTGCGTGCAATGTCGAACATTTGGCTTGATCTAGAGCTGCATCATAACTTGATGTGGGATATAGTCGCATTGTCCGCTTTGGACCCGTTTATTTTTTCTGACTAGTTGATAGTTAATAATGAATGCCATAGACCTATTCCAAAAAGAGCAAGAGGTCTGTTTCGGGTTACATGAAAACGAGGCTAGTTACATTTTTTCTCCTGAATTTAAAATTATTTTGTTTATTTTCTCACTATGTCGTTGGAACTGTTGCAAGCTACAGATAAACAAAGTTTGTCTTTGATGCTTTGATTACTATCTCTATGTGTAAATCCCAATACTTTAATACTGTTGGATTCTATTCTTTAAAGACTGATGTTTGCAACAACTAGGGTGGGTGGGGGTTGCTCTATTTCACGTCGAAAAGAGATAAACATCTCCTTGCACTTTTTTGAGTTTAATTTCATATTATTGGAACTTGTCCAATCACTAATTGCGATGCAATTCGTTTTGTAATTTGGATACCTCGCTTGTTGCATGGGACAACCTCAGATATTGTTACGTCGTCAACGCGTATTCCCAACCATATGCGGCCAAAAATTGGTGGTTTTTTAAACTAAATAAATCAATTTTATGTCAAGAAAGACAACTTTGTTTGGTAAATTGAGATATACCTCTGTGAAATTTTGTTGAGAATGGAGTAAATTTCTTACATTTTTTTATAATTAGTAATTAGGAACAATCAATCATTTAAACGTCATAGGTTAGGAATGCAGATATAATATGGGTAATCAAGGGTTTTAGAGTGAGTGAGACGTGAGGTGATCGGGAAGATAACTTAGGAAATAAAAGGAGAAAAAACCAAAACTTTGTGAGTGTGTTGGCCTAACCTTACGCCTCAAACGGCGTTCCCAACACAAGTGGCACCTCCGACGGGATCTGTGAGAGAAATGGAAGAAGCGATAAAACAAATCGAGATAAAACAGAAGTTAGCTCAAGGCACATGTGAAACCTTAGAACGAGCGATCGAAAGGCGGAATATAACGAGCATCGAGCGTCATAAAAACACCATACGGAAAACCGCAGACGAGATTTACGAATTAAAGGTAAAAGTACAAGAGATACGGATAGGAAACGGAGACGAGGCGAGCGAGATTAAAACATGGACGGACAGCATAGAACTAGAACTCGAGAGATGGGATAGTGAGATAGCGAAAACATTAAAAATAACGAATAAATGGAAACAAGAAGAGGAAGAGGAAGCAAAACTGCACAAGCAAGAAATCGAAGCGAAAGCGCGCCATGAGCAGTTCGAACAGCAACTGGAATTCGATAGGACTCAAATGGATCTAAAGCTGCAACATGAAATTAAACTGGATAAAACGCGTAAAGAGTATGAGAAGGCACGAAGTACGAGCGCAAAACTACCTAAGCTTGTAATCACACCATTCCACGGGACACATTTGGACTGGCTACGCTTTTGGAACCAATTTGAATGCGAGATCGACAAGGCGGACGTTGCAGCGGTGACGAAGTTCTCCTACCTTAAAGAATTGGTCGGCCCAAAAGTGAAGTCATCCATAGACGGTCTGCCATTCTCTACGGAAGGTTACGAGCGGGCAAAGAATATCCTAAAGACGAAATACGGGGACGACAGCGAGATCGTGAATGCGTATGTACAGAACCTGATGAATCTACCGAACATACAGGGAACGAATCCTGGTAAGATACACACATTCTATGATAAGTTAGTGTTTAACGTGCAGTCTCTAGAGACATTGGGGAAGCTGAAAGAAGCAAATGGGTACGTTCGCATGACCTTAGATAAACTAGAGGGGATACGGGGAGATTTAGTTCGAACAGATGATGGCTGGCGGCAGTGGGATTTTGTCAAACTAGTAGATGCCCTTAGGAAATGGACGGAGAGAAACCCCACGAGAGTCGATGACAGGTCCCTTGATAAAAATAGTAATAAGTTCTCGAATGTTCTTCGAACGAAAACATTCCAAACGCGCCAACACGAAACAAAACAGAGACGGTGTGTTTATTGTAACGAGATTGACCATATGTCAATCAACTGTCCAAAATTAGTTACGTCTGCCGAGCGAAAGAAGTATCTAAGCGATAAGCGTTTGTGTTTTAACTGTACTGGGGCCGATCATCGTGCCTCCGATTGCCGAAGCCGATTTGCTTGTACCAAATGTAAGCGTAGACATCATACCTCGATTTGTGACGCCCCGGGTGATACGACGCCTCCTGCTGCGCCCTCTAATGACACGCTACTTAACACCGCAACTTGTGCGTCCAATAGATCTGTCGTCTATCCTGTCGTAGTTGTTAATATAAATGGTGTTAAATGTCGCGCCTTAATCGACACGGGGGCGGGAAGTTCCTACGCCTCGTCTGCATTGCTCGACAAAATAAAAGCTAAACCCCAAAAACGAGAAATGCGACGTATAGAAATGATGTTTGGGACTTCAACCAATTTGGTTGGAATTTATGCTCTAAAAATAAGCGATGCAGAGGAGAAGTTTTATATCGAGACCGAAGTAACGCGAGTTGAGAGAAGCGACCTCTTGACCTTAGACAATCCGAAATACCAACAACTTATTTCAAAATACAACCACCTCCAAGGCGTAACTATGCAAGATCGGGACACAAAGGACCGCCTACCCGTGCATGTAATTCTAGGGACTGGGGACTACGCCAAAATCAAAACGTCGACGAAACCGAGATTGGGGTCACCCGGAGAGCCAATCGCTGAGTTGACTAAGTTTGGGTGGACCATTATGTCTCCGGGCGGTGAGAAGGTCGACCTGAACAACATGTTACTGACACAAGTGCACCGGGAAGATTACGAACAGTTATGTAGGTTAGACGTTTTGGGCCTACAAGATACTCCAACTGGTGATCAAGAGAACGTATACAGCGAGTTTAAAGAGCAGCTATCGAGAAGCGAACATGGCTGGTACGAGACCAACCTCCCGTGGAAAGGCAACCACCCCCGCTACCTAGCAACGAAAGCGGAAGTTTGAAACGCCTAAACAACCTCGTCAAAAGGCTGCAGAAGCAAGGCATTCTAGAGCGGTACGATGGGGTAATTCAAGAGCAGATGAATGAAGGGATCGTGGAAAAGGTCGAAGCAGAACCACAAGGACGGGAATTTTACATACCACACAAAGCAGTGATTAAAGAAACCTCAGAAACAACGAAGTTACGAATTGTGTACGACGCGTCAGCGCGAGAGCACGAGAATTCACCATCCTTGAACGAGTGTTTAGAGACTGGCCCACCGTTGCAGAACCATTTATGGAAAGTGCTCGTCCGAGGACGTTTCCACCCCGTTGCGTTGACTGGTGACTTGAAACAAGCCTTCCTTCAGGTTCGTATTCGCGAAGGGGACCGAGATGCCATGCGCTTCCATTGGCTCAAAGATCTGACGACAAAAGAGGTCGTGACGTTGCGCTTTACGAGAGCCCTGTTTGGTTTGTCCCCGTCCCCATTCCTGCTCGGGGGAGTGATACAACACACCTACAAAAACACGAAGAAGAGCACCCAGAGATCGTGAAAGAAATTAGTAAGAGCATGTATGTCGACGACTTGGTCAGCGGAGGAGAAACAGTCGCGAAGGCGAAACAACTCAAAGAAATCAGTACTGAGATCTTTGAAGATGGGACGTTCCAGCTGCACAAGTGGCACTCGAATGTTCCTGAACTCGAGCAAACTCCCACAACCTCCTCTGTAGAAGATACGTTCGCCAAGCAACAACTGGGGGCGACGTCATCCCCATCAACAATACTCGGCCTTTCATGGGACAAAGATCAAGACGTCATACAAGTAGAGATACCTGCTGAGAAAGCTCAGCCAACCAAAAGAGGAATCCTCGGGAAAATCGCCAAGATATACGACCCCCTCGGAATAATCACACCGATTACACTGCAAGGAAAACTATTGTATCGGGATTGTTGTGATCGTAAAGTGGCCTGGGACGCGAGATTGCCAAGTGATCTGGAAGGGAGATGGTTGAAATGGGAGACGAGTCTTCCAAACCACGTGAACGCCCCAAGGAGCTTAGCTCAGTTTCTAGAAAAGATCGAAGATGTCAAGCTCCACGCGTTCGGGGATGCGAGTGGATACGGAGTCGCGGCGTCGGTATTCGCGGTGGTTAAACAACAGAGTGGGATCTCCCAAGGTCTCGTGGCCGCCAAGTCGCGTTTGGCAAAGAAGAACCTGACAATCCCTCGTTTAGAGTTGGTATCAGCTCACATGGCCACTAACTTGGTCCACAACGTTCGAGAAGCGTTGGACGGGTTTCCAGTAAGCCAGGTCTTTGGTTGGTTGGACAGTACAGTGGCCCTGCACTGGATACGTGGAGGAGGAGAGTTCAAGCAGTTTGTTGGTAATAGAGTGCGAAAGATCCAGGAGAAATCATACATTCAGTGGCGACACGTATCCAGCGAAGAGAATCCTGCTGACCTGGGTAGCAGAGGAGGGAAAGTCAGCGAGAAAGAGCACCGGTGGAAGGGCCAAAGTGGCTACCTATCCAAGATACCTGGCCAAGCGATATCGTGACCAACCCAAACCCCGAAACGATAGCAGAAATAAAACCATTGAAGAGTTTGTTCAAGATCGCAGTCCAAGAACCAGACGAGTTTGATCAGTTGTTGAAAAAGTGGAATTTGTGGAGGACCCTGAGAATCTGTTCATGGATTTCGCGCTTCATTTGTAATATCAGCAGAGACAAAGAATCAGTAAGCGGTCCACTGTCCACCGAGGAAATCGAGGCGCGGAAGTTGTGGTGGATCGCGAGAGTGCAAGAAAGGAATAAGAATACGGCGGAATTTGTAAAAGATCGGGCAGAGCTAAACCTCCAACCATGCAGTAATGGTATCCTTGTCTGTCATGGTCGTATCCAAGGCGATCACCCAATCTATCTCCCAGACAAAGACCACTTCACCGAGAAGTTAGTGGAGCATTCCCATAAAGTGACCCTCCACGGGGGAGTGGGACTGACTATGGCCAAGGTTCGAGACGAGTACTGGATCCCACGACAACGAAGAATGACTAGACGAGTGAGAAAGAACTGCTTTGGATGCAAACGGTTCCACGCAACACGACTACCAAACCCCCAACCGGGAAAGTTACCCAAAGACCGATCGTCAGGCGAGTTACCATTCCAAGTCGTAGGAGTCGATTACGCGGGTCCGATCAGATATCGTGCAGGAAACAAGCAAGAACGTAAAGCCTACATCCTAGTCTACGCCTGCTCCTTGACACGCGCGCTATACCTCGAGGTGACGAAAACTCTGAGCACGGAAGAATTCCTTAATACCTTAAAAAGATTTATAGCGAGAAAGGGACGGCCCGAGAAAATATATTCAGACAATGCGAAGACGTTTGTTGCTGGAGCGAAGTGGCTGAAACGAATTATGCAGGACGAGAGATTCAACGATGAGTTGGCGAAGATGGCAATCAAGTGGCAGTTCAACTTAAGTCGAGCACCTTGGTGGGGTGGGCAGTATGAAAGATTGATAGGTCTTATCAAACAAGCGCTGTACAAATCTATCGGTAACGGTCATCTTACTTGCACAGAGTTGGAAGAAGTGATCTTGGACATTGAGGTGGCTCTGAACAACCGTCCCCTCAGTTATGTTGAAGATGATGCACAACTACCACTGCTGACACCTAACATCTTACAGTTTGGACGCCCGAACATCCTTCCAGAGCAAAGGAATCAACACATCGAAGATGACGATCTGCGGAAACGAGCAAGGTACATCAAACGGTGCAAAGACGTCCTGTGGAAGAGATGGTCGTCCGAGTACCTCAAAAGTCTCCGAGAAAGACACAACATGAAAACCGGCGAGAAGGTGATACGGTTGAACATAGGAGATGTCGTCATTGTGAAAAGCGAAGAGAAAAATAGAGGGAAATGGAGATTGGGTATCGTGCAAAGCCTCATCACGGGTAAGGATGGAATCGTGCGAGGAGCGAGACTGCGAGTGGGACAAAAAAAACATTGAACGAGCAGTTCAACGCTTGTACCCGATGGAGCTTTCGTGTGACGCAGAACTAAAACCGGCAACTTCAAAACTTAGAGTTGATGTTCCAGAGTTCCGACCAAAACGAAACGCTGCAGCGATAGCAGAGTGTCGCATCAAGGACATTGGTGAAAACGAAGATGATTAAAACATAAATTTAAACTTAAATCGTTACATAGGGGATTATATTGGAACTGATTAATTAAGTTAGTTATTTCACGAAAAGTTATGTTATATTCGTCGATACAGAATTACTGGGTAATCGAACGTTGATTTGAACATTATTATATAGAATATCGAGAACATGATTCATTATATTCGATTCCTTTGAATCGAATAGGGGGAGGGTGTTGAGAATGGAGTAAATTTCTTACATTTTTTATAATTAGTAATTAGGAACAATCAATCATTTAAACGTCATAGGTTAGGAATGCAGATATAATATGGGTGAATCAAGGGTTTTAGAGTGAGTGAGACGTGAGTGATCGGGAGGATAACTTAGGAAATAAAAGGAGAAAAAACCAAAACTTTGTGAGTGTGTTGGCCTAACCTTACGCCTCAAACGGCGTTCCCAACAATTTGACTTATTTACGCATGCAAAACGTTTCTTGAGGCCTCTGTTCGAACGCTGACCTTTCATAAAATACGTAATGTAAAGCATAATGTTGTGTTTACTACACTTCATGCACTTTTCTTCTGCAAGACTGTTCACTAATTTACATCTCTTAGAAGTAGAATGCATAGCAAGTTGCAAGAAAAATTGCACCGTGTAACAGGGCCTTAATTCACGACATTTTATACATATTATTCCTTTTATAGCTTGCGAAAGGCGGCGTTACTCTGTTTGTCGCACGATGTTCTGTCCAGTCTTACGCAAGCTATAAAAGCAATAATGTAGTATAAAATTGATTTATTTAATCTAAAAAACCACCAGTTTTGGGCTGGCTTGGTTCCAACTACTGGAACGCAGAGATGTTATTTTTAAATTATTGATCATTAAGACAAAAAGGATCGGACCCAATTTGGTGTCCTGAGGGACTCCAGCACTATTTAGTAGCCATCGGGACACGCATTGTCGAAATTTAACACACGACGACGATTTGATGGGAAGCTGCAAATCCAAGGGAATCCAACGGGACACTCCCAAATCGATCAGTTTAGTTATAACAATATTGTGGCCAATTCTGTCGAAAGCTTTGCTAAAATCCAGAAAGCAAGCTCTAAGACTAAGATAGTGACGTGGATTGTCCGTTTTAGAGAGCCAGTTGTGGACAAGATCTAGAACACAGAGAGTGGCGGATGATCCCTTCAGCAAGGTTATATAAAGCAAGGTTAACAACTCCTTTCCGTCATATATATATTATACTCTACAGCTCGTCCGTTCGTTATATATCTGCAACGTCCGTGTGTTATAATGGTTAGTGACCTTAGCTAGGGTATTATAACCCTCTTGTCACTAGCCTGTGTATATTTGTTTACATGTATACGCCATGCAGACCATTAGCCATTTCCCAATCGATCAGGGTACGAGGTTTTGTCGCGAACCGAAAAGCATCTATGGACTGTTTGGGACAAACGCTTCAGACTTATACTTGCTGTCGCTCCAAACAGTCTGTAGTGTTATTATATTAGTATAACATATAGTATTTAGTTAGTTAAATGAGCGCGGGCTCATTTCTTGTACAATATATAAACAGTGTTATAGTCTGTTCTAAAAGACACTTATATTAAAGTTATAATCCTTTGCAATCTCAACACAACACAGTCCATTGATGCTTGCGATTCGCGACTAGACCCAGTACCCTGCTCGATTGGGAAATGGCTAATTATCGTGAATATTGCACAAATTCTTTAAAAACCTAAATTCCTTAAAAAGACTCTCAAAATTCTTCTAAATTCCTATTTCTAAGGAGTTATCCTTAAAAGTGAGAGCACTAGGGAGGAGAAGGCAAGTTATGAAATATATACAACTCTTCAAAATTAGCAATATGAAAGTTTTGTTTCATATAGTTGTTAGTAAGTTGTCTCCAGTACTTGTAAATTGTATAAGTTTTAGTGAATATTTTTCTATAAGTCTTCCAGCGTCATGAGTTTAAAAGGTTATGAGCCCAGCCAGAGTCACAACCGCAGTGAGCCGTTTATTGTATACGACGGTGATGAACGAAAGAACGAGTTATGGGAAGTAAAGTTTCTTGGCTATCTAAGGCTCAAAAAATTGAGCGATACCATACAAGGACCATTGGCTGAGCCGAGGAGCCTAGGTCTAGGTCTACTAGATGATCGAAGCATCGTTTATTATCCCAGACGCAGTTATTAACGATGGACGAAAGGCCCTGGCAATCCTGCGTGAACATTATTTGTTGAAGGGCAAACCACGTGTTGTATCTCTATACATCGAACTAACCTCTCTTACAAAGACGAGCGAAGAATCTGTTACAGATTATAGGTTGCGGGCAGAGATAGCATCCACATCTCTAAAGTCTGCTGGGGAAACAATAAGTGATAGACAATTATTGATCGCAATGATCATCAAAGGATGACCTTCGTTTTCAACTGCGGTAACGCAGACAGACAAAGAACAATCGTTTAGCGATTGTTTAAAGTCTCATTAAGAAGTTTTGAAGAAACCAAAAAACTCTCAAAAAAGGGAAACCCAAAGGAGGATAGGGTCTTGAAAGTTCTCGGTAAATCTGGCAAGGAATTCGTATGTTACAATTATGTTAAATTTTGATACTTTCTCTCTCTGTGGCATTGTTCTATATATTTTCCGCCATTCCCGTCACCAGACTTTGGGATTTTAACTGCTGCATCAGCCTGCACGAGAAAGCTGCTGACCTTTTTAGCTCAGCATTTTCAAGTTTAATTGCTGAATAAAAAGTTAGCATTTTCAAACTTAACTGCTGCATGAAAAAGCCGGCATTTTCAAATTTAACTGCTGGATAAAAAATTCAGCGCTTTTAAATTTCGACATAGCATTACAATATTTGAGTCAGAGAAGAATTTTAAGATATTTAATCACCATTTTATACATTCAAGGCGTCATTGTCAAGATTAACAATGCCATTTTGTAAATAAAGTTACTCTGGATTTTGGCGGTTATGGCTTCTCATAAAATAGCAACTTCGAAAGATAAAATGCGAATACGGATTGGGAATGGTGGATTGAAAAATGCGGGAGGGAAAGTGCGGATAAGGTGATAAAATGCGGATGAGGGAATAAAATGCGGATGGAGATAGGGATTAAATGCGGATGAAGGGATAAAATGAGGACGAACGGATGAAATCGGATGAGCAACCTCGTTCCCAAGATATTTTACCTGGAGTCTGGATTCTGGAAGACTCAAACAACCTCGATTCTGTACCTTGATTCTGTTAATTTATGCTTTTCCAAAATACCTACAAAATGTGGGTATTTTGAACGTCCGATCCCAGGGCCTTTCCTCTTCTCTCCTCCCCCAAGCCCCAATCCCCTATAAGTCCCAAAAGGCCCTGGGAACGAAGTTGGCGGATGAGGAGATAAATCGCGGATTAGGAGTGAAATATAGAGAAAAAGGTCGAAACCAATGTGAGGTCACTACAAAGGCAAGAATGATTATTGATGATTATGAAACTCTTAGAATAAATATGAGAGCACAACATATTACTTTTAACAAAGCCATTAAAGATTTATTGGTAACTTTTCGTCTTTAAGACATCTTCAGACTAATGATAAATACATGAAATTTTCTGGTGTGTAAATGGCGTTTGGTTTGACCCACATACGACGCGGATCAGCATTAACGTCTAAATAAGTATACAACACCAGATCTCAGAAACTTGATGAAAATCTTTGGCTACCATAATGATTATGATATATTTAGGAACTTACTTATAAACAAATTATCACAATTTAGCTACTTATATTTGGCAACCTTAACGCACAAGATAAAGGCAGAATGGAGTTGTCAGAAAATACCGTCAGTAAAACTCCTCAATCTGCTTAAAGCCGTATTTGTTGAGTTTTTGAATACGTCACAATACGACATTTTAGTCACGCAACTGAAAATGACGGATTTCATACCGCCGAAACGAGCTGGATCCTCGTACGCAAGTCGCAGTATGACGTCTTTATATCGATTGTGATATTCTGATTTTTTGTGTTAGATCTATATGTGCTCGTTAACGCTTTTGTCTTGCTCTAATTTTAACTTGTCAACTGGTGCTTTTCGCTTTTACTTTCAGGGATAAAATTAGGTAAATTTACGAATTATAATTTTAAGAATCAGCAAAGCGACTTCGTCAGAAAATCATTAACTTCGTCGGTAAATTACTGACCCTCCCCCCCCCCCTCCATCCCAATATAATTATAGGCACAATGATAGCCACATGCGTATCAATCATTGTTCCAGGATCTGGGAGACGTTTTAATATTGCCCGCGCAATGAAGTTAGTGGAACATGAAATAGTAAACTTTTTTGGTATTCGAAAATATTAATAATACTTACAACACAAATATTACAGTTTACATTTTAAACACCATTACCTTATAATTTAGCACCATATTAATTCAAGTCAGGCATATATATTCACCATGGTTTGTTATTTTGAATTAGTGCATTGCCGACTGTCGGTGAATAATGAAAACCATGAAAACCATGCAGACTTTAAAAACATGCAAGGTATTAAACTGTCGTAAATTCTGCGTGTTCACTCCACCGTTCATGGCAAATGATGTTTCGTCTCAATCACCAAACTAGAAAAAAAGTCCTTCCGTGTTCCATGAAGCATGTGGGGATTAAGTGCATCGACGTGCAGTCACCTGCCAACAGCCCATGCCTGCCGCACATACATATATACTGTACAATTTTTGCCAACATCCTATGCTTGTCGCACATACATGTACTGTACCATTTTCTTTCGAAGCGATAACAAGGCTACGGATATCCAGTTTCTTATATTTTGAGACACCCTGTAGTTTATAAAATCAGTTCGCAGTTTTTATTC